CAACCAAAATATCTTGGAGGGTCATTTGTCTATACTAAATTGTTTTCAAAAATTTGGTTTTCAACAACTTGTTCAGCATTACACTACTGAAGGTGGGACACTTATAGATCATGTTTATATCAGTAAAGAAATTCCGTCACATAATGTTCACATTTCACACATACCTGTATATTATAGCTACCATGAAGCTATTAAAATAACCATACGATAAGTTATATTGATACAAGATTGAATTTACCCTTTCACAAAACATTTCATTTAGCTTGGCTCTTTGCTAAAAGTGGTCGAGTCAACACCGAGTTTGAGAGGGTTTGAAGTTCAAAAAAGCATTACAGCTATCAGGCAAAGTATCACGGGCCACGCTCAGTGCTGTTCACAGCTCTAGTTTAAGTTGTATTTATCAATTTATTCAAAATAAGTTTGATGTGATGGACCAATGATCCGCCATTTTTGTGTGTTACTGTTCTCTTCCTTCAATATTATTTAACAAATGTTTAAATATAAAACATACCTTCAACTGTCATCAGTGATAGCCCGAAAATCCACCAAATTACCAGCAAATTCATTTTGAGTTTTTTATCAGGTGTACGATACTTGGATATTCCCAGACTCACAAATTGACCTAAAACTCAGTTGTGTTCAACTTAAATCTGACTGGTTAATTTCCGCCACATTTCGTCATTTGTTAATTTACATAGTTATTGAATTATACAAGGAAGTTTTCAACGAGAAATTGATGTAATGCAATTATGTTATAAAAGAGGCGGAAAATGACACATAACTGACTTATTGTTCGAATTTTTGAAAGGGGCTCGTTATGAGAGTTAACTCCATTTCTAAGGATTGTATTACAACTTATATTTAGCAGACGAGCAAAACGGTTTCAGACCCAATAAATCGTCTGAAGATGAACTGTGATTAGGAATCGATTACTTTGAAAACATTATACTTTTGATTTGTTTATTGATTTCTAGAAAGCTTTTGACTTGTTTTAAAGCGTCCAGTCCTGCTTTTAAGACTAATGTCTAACGGCATTGACGGACGATTTTGTGAAGTCCATACTCCATACTTCTCATCAGATGTATTTTCACTTTCTATTTCTATACATTATGTTTTTTCTATATGACAGAGAACCAAGAAATGATGAGTCGTCATTTTAACATTCAAATACGGATAATAATTCTGGACACATTCGACGAAAGTGAAAACTACTGCCGATTAACTTCAGTGGCGGAGCCAAAGGGGGGCCGGGGGAGGGGGGGGGGGGGAAGGGGGGGGCGTTTGCTAGGCGTATATATATAGGATTTCTCATATCAAATTTCGCCCGAATGTTTTTACATTTTTGTTAATAAATTTTCTGCCTGAATTCCTAATAATGTAACTGTTTTTTCACATTTAATAATGAAATCGTATCTTTGCCCAAATATACTATCCTATAACTGTATTTTTTAATTGAAATCGCAGCCCTATTGTATTCTCCTATAATAATATTTCATAATTCAGATCATTTGAGAATTGAAATTACTACCGAATGTCATTTCCTATAACTATATTTTACATATTTCAAAAATTGAAATGTCTTGTACTATAACAATATTTATTGAAAAAAAAATTGAAATCGCTTCCCGAAGCCTTTACTAAATTTTACGTTTTATAAAATTAGAATCGCCAAAGATGTTGATTTCCACAAAGTTCTTCCGACGTTTGCAATGATGTTGACTAAAGTTGATGACGATTATAATTGAAACTAAAATATAAACACACGCATAAAATAAAACAAAAACAGTAATCAAATCCACACAAACATAACATATCCATTCGGGTGAAAACGGTAATCCACATCCCGTAAATTAAAAACTAAAAAATATATTTCTAAATCTTCTGTTCCTGCATATTTTTACTTAGGTGATCGTTTTCCCCAAATTCTCCATACCAGATTACGGCATTGTAAAAGTATCTTACAAGCTCACAAATTCCTTATGCACATCAGTGACACTTCATCATGTTTATGTGGACATCCCTTCGAGGATTCAGAGCATTACTTACTCCATTGCAGACTATTCTCAAATATGCACAACATGACAATAAAACTCCTTCCATCGCACCATCGCTCTATCTCTTCTCTTCTATTTGACAATTCAGACCTCCCCTTAAGTAGCATTGTTCATATTTTTTCTACTGTTCATAAGTTTATTTCTCTGTCCAAGCGTTTTGACAAATAATACTGCCGATATATACTCTCCCTACTACGTTTCGAAATTTACTACTGTATAGCTTAGAATATGTCGCCAGTTTATACCAATGAATAGATTTCCGGCTTTATTTACGTATTTCATTACACCTATTTTACTATAATATAATATAGACTTGCTGTTGCACAAATTCAAATATTCTCTATCCTAAAAAATTGTTGATTATTTTGTATATAGATACGCTCGAAACAGACTAATATAATCATTATGCTTGTCTGTGGATCGACTATTGTGTATTCATGT